GTACATTTTGTTTGTTTAGTGTGTGTGTACGTAGTGTGTGTGTACGTAGTGTGTGTGTGTGTGTGTGTGTGTGTGTGTGTGTGTGTGTGTGTGTAGGTCAGAGGATAAGAACCTGAAGGAGTTGGGTGTCTCCTTCCACTATGTTGGCTCCAAGAATCTGCCCTCACTACTGAGCCATCTCCTCAGTCATGATGAACACTTTAAAAGGGGAAACCATGCTGTTGAACTAAGGGTAGAGTTTTGATTAACAGTCAGCATGAATGATGTACTGTGCTTTCTGTCCCTTCACTTCGATGGTATTTCACAGTAGTGAAGCAATCTGGAATTTCTCCTAGGATATTCTCTAGGGAGCACCCCCTGAAGTCATTTTGCCCTTCCTTACACTGTGGAAGTTCTCTAAAAGTGACCAGCAGGCTCAGGGAACATTGCAGAAGAGAGGCAGGTCGGATGTAAGAGCTGTAGCAGGGAGGGGTGCTGTGAAATGCCTGGATGGGGCGCTCATAAACCCACAAGGTTACCTGCATAAGATGATGCCAACAAGACCTGTGGGTCTAACTGATGCAATGGAGAGCACTAATTGAACTCAGCGGATTTAAAAACAAAACATGGGACTGGAGAGATGGCTCAACAGTCAAGAGCAGTGACTCGTGGAGACCCAGGTTTGAGTACCAACACTCACACGGTGGTTCACAACCACCTGTAACTCCAGTTCCAGGTGACCTGATTCCTTTTTCTGGCCTCTTAGGGCACCTGGCATCATATATATTTATGAAATTATCAAAGAACAAATAAAAGACCCAAAAGGGAAAAAGCCGACCTTGGCCAGGCATGGTGGCACACACGTATAATCTCAGGAATCAAGAGGTTAGGGAGGAAGACCAGGAATTCCAAGCAAGCCTGAGTTTTCTTTCTGCCACTGTGATAAACAGAATGACCAAAAGCAACTTGAGAAAGAAACGATTTATTTCAGCCTACAGTTGTAGTCCATCCTGAAGAGAAGTCAAGTCAGAAACTCATGGCGGAAATTGGAGGCAAGAACTGGAGCAGAGACCATGGAGAAGTACTGCTTACTGGCTTTCTCCCCAGGGCTTGCTCAGTTACCTATCTTTTTTTGTTTTTTGTTTTGTTTGTTTTTACGAGACAGGGTTTCTCTATATTGTTTTGGAGGCTGTCGGTCCAGCCTGGCCTCGAACTCACAGAGATCCGCCTGCCTCTGCCTCCCGAGTGCTGGGATTAAAGGCGTGCGCCACCACCGCCTGGCTCTCAGTTACCTATCTTATACAACTCAGTATTACTTGCGTAGGGGTGACACCGACTACAGTGGGCTGGGCCCTCCTACATCAATCATCAATCAGGAAAATGCCCCACAGATTTGGCTACAGGCCTGGCTAATGGAGACAAACCCTGAATTGACATTCCCTCTTCCTAGATGACTCTAGCTTTTGTCAAGTTGCCAAAAAAACAACCAGCATACCTGGTTTACATAGTGCGACAATGTCTCATACAACACAGGAAAGAGTGAGCAATGTCTTCTCAGTTCTCCACCACCCAGTCTTTCTTAACTCTCAGGCTTTTGAGAACTACTCATGAATGTCATATGAACCTATTTGTCTGTGTCCTCTCTGAAATGGTTCCAATCCCCACATCACTGGCTTTTCCTCACTGTTCTCCCGTGGGAAAATTTTCTTCCTTGTTCCCACGTGTGACCAATCCTAACAGGACAATAGTTTATCACCTTATTATTTAGGGATAAGCAGCTTGTGACACAACCAAAAGATCTGGATGCCCGGGGAGTTACCCTGTTGAGACAGCTGAGGATAAGACAAGTAACAACTCTATCCATCTTGAACTCATCCTGTTGTTTCAATCATCTGTTTTACATTTTTCTTTTCCTTTCCAAAATAAGGTTTCTCTGTGTGTAGCTCTGACTGTCCTGGAACTCACTCTGTAGACCAAGCTGGCCTGATTTGTCTGTCTCTGCCTCCCAAGTGCTAGGATTAAAGGCATGCGCCACGACCACCTGGCTTTGTTTTACATTCTTACAAATATCATTTAAAACATTTTTGAACTTTTTTATTTATTATTTGTACATGTATGGGTGTTACCTGTATGTATGTCTGTGTACCACATGTATACATGCCCACAGGGGCTAGGAGAGGGCATCAGATCCGCTGGGCCTGGAGTTACAGATGGTTGTGAGCTGCTGAGTGGGTGCTGGTAATTGGACTTGGGTCCTCTGCAAGATCAGCCAGCACTCTTAACCATTGAGCCATCTCTCTAGCTTCAGCGAATACCACTTTTGACCAATCTGGGACATTGCCTTTTTAAAATAATTTATTTTATTCACGTGTGTGTGGTGTGTATGCATATATGTGTATTCCCATATGTGGGGACATATGGATGTTATAGCTTGACACTTGATGTCTTCCTTGATCACTATCCCACCTGATTTTTTGAGGCAGGGTCTCTCACTGATCCCAGAGCTTACTGTCCTGGCTAATCTAGCTAGTGGGCTTGCTTCTGGGATCCCTGTCTCTGCCTCCTGAATGCTGGAATTACAGGCAACCATCAAAACCACTCAGCTTTGGAAGTAGGCTCTAGGAGTCTGAATTCTGGTCCTTATGCCTGCATGGCAAGCACTATATACACTGAACCATCTTTCCCAGCCTGTTTTCATCTTTACTAGTCCAGTATGCTTGCTGGCCAGTTTGATATCCCGTCCATTATATCAGTGCCAAGGCGGGATGTTAACTCAGTAGTAGTACAATGTTACTTTAAAAGCAAACTCCCTGAAATGTATGGCCTCAAAGGACGTACCAATTACTTCTATTCCATGACTTGCTGGCAACTGGTATTATAATACCAAACTTGTAAGACTGCTTTCCCTTTTATGAATCTTTAAAAATCCCACTTATTTACCCGTTTGTGTATTGGGACGGGTGCACATGCCACGGTGCAAGTGTCAAGTTCAGAGGGCAGATTGCAGGAGTCATTTCTGTCCTCCATCATGTGGGTCCCAGGGACCCAGATCACGCCTCAGGCTTGGCTGCAAATGCCTTTATCTGCTGAGCTTTCCTTGACAAAACCATTTTTAGGGTTACAGTTGTAGTCCATCGTGAAGGGAAGTCAAGTAGGGTTTTCTTTCCTTGAAAAAACCATCTTTAGCAATAACCTCTGCTAGCATATAACAATTTGTGATAACTCATGGTTTGGTAATTAAAGTAACACAAGAGAAAATTCCATTTCCCATAATGAGCTACAATAAAGACAATTCTGGAAAATTGGGTACTTGACTGAAATTTACCTCACAGGTGTGTAAAAGGTAGGAAGAAACTAGAGGAAGCTTAACTTGTTGTGTGCCCAATTTTGACCCTTTAGGATTAAAAACAGATTTCCTGAGAGACGAAATGGAAGGGGGAGAAGTGGGAAGTCACAGGCTTGATTTGGGACTGCTTTGAAATCTTAGGACTGCTATTGAGGCATCAAGGGTTTTTCATTTTTTTTAATCAAGTGAATCTTTTTATTTTTTTGTTTTGTTTGAGACAGGGTTCTTTTGTACGTAACCCAGGCTAATCTGCCTAGGCTAGTCTTGAATTTGTGGCAATCCTCCTGCCTCAGCCTCTTGACTGCGTGGGTTATCATGCCTCACAAATGAACCTTTAAAAATTTGGTGGCGTATGTTAATCAGCGTGATTTTAAAAAAAAGAATGAAATAAGGGTTTGTGGGAGCTTCTGGCAAAGATCCCTCACCTCCCAGGTGTTCTTTACCCCAGAGCATGAGGAGGTTTCGTGGTAAATACAGCTATGCTTTGAAGGTTGCCAGAGTGACAACGGTCCTCTATTCTATCCATTCTCTCTCCTTCCTAGGAAGTGAACCCTTGACTACTGGGGTGTGATAGGAAGAAGCAGGACAGGGAGGGAGGAAGTGGAGTGGAGTGGGAAGGAGGGAGGAAGAAATACAACGGCCAGACTCTGTGTGTGTGTGTGTGTGTGCGTGTGCACACGTGCGTGTGTCACAGTGTGTGTGTGTGTGTGTGTGTGTGTGTGTGTGTGGAGGTCAGAGGACAACCACAAATGTCATTCATCAGGCACTGTCCACCTTTTTGATACCAAGGAAGCTAGGCTGAATGACCAATGAGTCATGATCTGCTTGCCTGTCTCTGCTTCCCCAGGTCTCGAGTTACAAGCGCACAGCCATTCCCATGTCTGGCTTAAAAATATTGTGCATGTGTGGGAGCCTGCACGAGGAAATATGCACTACATGAATGCCGACTTTTTTTTTAAATGTGGGTTCTGAGGATAGAACTCAGGTCCTCATGCTTGAGAGGCAAGCGCTTTATCCACTGAGCCTTCTCCTCATCTCCCTCAAATACATCTTAAACGGTGGAAATTCCCAGAGCTCCTTCTGCCTTAGAATTGGATCCAATACGCATTCACAGACTGTGCAACAGGAAGAAAAATCATCACACTAAAGGAACGTTAGGGGGACTCAGGTCATGATCCTTTTGGTCACCACGTTCTTTTTACTTGTGTCTAATAAATCTGTGTTGGGCTGTAATGACTAGGAGACGATCAGAGTCCTCTCCCCTTCTCCTCCATCTTCATCTTCTCCATTTCACCTTAGACATTCAATAAATACTGTTGACTGAAGGAATGCTATATTCATTAGCTCTCTCTCTCTCTGTCTCTCTGTTTGTCTCTGTCTGTCTCTCTCTGTCTGTCTGTCTCTCTCTCTTTCTGTGTGTGTGTGTGTGTGTGTGTGTGTGTGTGTGTTTGTGTGTGTTGGGGGAGTTATTATTCTACAGGCGAGGAAATTGCAGAACATCCAAGGCCACACACAAATGACTACAGGATCGAGTATTCCAAGACCAGACCTCTCCAAGTGGCTGCACAGCCTGCCTTCTTCCCAGCTCTCCCTGAATTGGGGGGGGGGGGGGCTGAGAGGGCTGGGGAGCCGCTAGATGGGAGCATCTGCCTCGGGTAAGCCTCTGTGTAAGAGCTATGAACCAGACGCTGTGAGGCAAGCAAAGGTGGGATCCCCCACTCTGCTTAAATCCCACCCACGGAGAGGAAGCAAAATTGTGAGTGGATCCTGCTGAGAATCCAACACCGATGGGAAGGAGGGCAGAGCTAGGACTCTCTAGGAGCTCGGCAAAAGGTACGAGGACTGGGAGGAAAAGCAGTGTAGCTAGCATTCTTGCCAGGGTCTGGTCTCTTGGGCCGACATGCGCTAGGTACGGTGATTCCCTCGTAGACACTTGTCACTTGGAGGGTTCCATCACCTGTGCAGGTGGGGCGACGGAAGGAGCTGTTTACCAGACTGTGGTCTCACCCCTAACTTCTCCCCAGTTTGAGGTGGAGAGCGCAGATAACTATTTCGGTGGGAAACAGGCTTGGTACATAAAGGATGCTAGGAATCCCGGGAAGATGATGGATGACATTACCACCTGGAAGGAAGGCTGGGCTCTCACACAAGCATCTTTCTCTACACCTACCTCTGCCTCCAAGGTTCTTGTAAGCAAGTGCCCGCCCGCCGACTCCCTGCTGAGGACTGGGTGGGGACCCGCGGCGCCGCGGAAAGGCTATTTTGGGTGTGGGAACGCGGCGGGAGGAGGGGCGCCGGCGGGCTGGGCGCGGGCGCGCGGGGAAAGCCTCCAGTTCGGGCTGCCACGGCAACCGCGTCCAGGCAACGCGCCCGGAAGCGGCTCTGGGCGGCGCGCGGCGGCTCGCGCCCTTCCCGGGTGGGGGAGCCGCGAACCCCGGGCCGGGCCGCGCGCGCGCTGACTGGAGCGCGGGCCCGTAGCCGGGTTCGCCCCGCACAGCCCGGCGCTCGCGGCCACCGCACCCAGAGCGCCAGCGACAACATGGGCAGCCGCGGCGCGCCCGATCCGCGCGCGGGTGAGTCCCCAGGGGTGCCTCTCCTCCCCACGCGCCCAGGCATCTCCTGGATCCAAGCAGCGGGTGCTTCTGCAGGGACAGTCGATGTGACCTTGGAGCAACCACTCCACCGATAGACATGGGATAGTGCTGGGGAGAGGGGGGTGAGGGGTGAAGCTGCGCGTGCCCTGTGTGACATTCTGGACGCTAGAGGGTTAACTGCATGCTGACGCGCAGGGCTGAAGTTGGGCGCAGAGCGCAAGTGGCATTGCAACATCGCGGGGGCTGCAATCAAGCAGACAACAGAGCCCCCCAGGGACTGTTTGAGACGAGCCAAGGGTGTGCAGAGTTTGCCAGAACTAGGACAAGTCTATTACCCCCAGTTGGAGCTGAGTGACCTTGGGTGGGTTAGCCACATTGCTTCCCTGCGGGTTCCCTGGTTCTCTCCAGTTGCAGCATAAGGCTGTTTTGCTGATACTGTGAGCTGAAGAAGGCCCCTTAACCATGTTTATTCCGAAAGGGGTTTCCAATGAGCTGGCTCCCAAAGTGGCAAGAAATGTTACCATTTTATGGAAGATTGTGGAGGGAACACTCTGAGATCCAGGGAGGCTCGTTAAAATGCATAGATCAAAATCCCATCGGTGCCCTTAAGTCCTAAACCCATTTCGGGCTCAAGCTACTAATACTTTTTTCCTGTAGTTGATCTGATAGGAAACTTTGTGTCTGAACAGGTAAAATCAAAACCCAGTAGTGGCAGGCAGTGGCAAATTAAGTGAGTCATTTCTTCAATGTGCAGAAGCTTTCTCTCTCTCTCTCTCTCTCTCTCTCTCTCTCTCTCTCTCTCTCTCTCTCTCTCTCTCTCTCTCTGTCTCGTGTGTGTGTGTGTGTGTGTGTGTGTGTGTGTGACGCATGCGTGCACTCATCTTAAAGTCTGTGTGTGCTGGTGCTAGAGATTATTTCACAGATATAATGCGGAACTGTTTTAGATCTACAGAGGGAATCTCTTAGAAGCAGGGACAAGCATTTGCATTTGCTCTTTAAAGATTGGTGGTGGTGGTGGGAGCTGACAAGACGGCTCAGTGGGATGACGTCCTTGCCACCAAGCTCGATGACCTGAGTTTGATCTCCAGAACCCACACCGTGAAAGGAGAGAACCATCCAACCCCCGCAAATTGTTCTCTGACCTCCACACCCACACAAGACGCACAAGTCAAACAAGTAAATGTAGTGGAAATTAACTAATTAGGTTTCTGAGAATAAATGTGTTCTTTATTAAGAAATGTGCATTGGTATCTGCCGTGTGTGTGTGTGTGTGTGTGTGTGTGTGTGTGTGTGTGACTTATAGGCTGTGGTATTTCTTCTAATTTTAGCACTGACTGGTACTAAAAATGACAAGGAAGTCGTTTTCCATATTTTCCATCCATAAACTTCCCTTTTCTCCAATGGGGCACAAGGGGTGCCTAGGATCCCTGTCATTGGATACTTGAGATGTCTCTGGCTTTGTGTTTCAAGGACACTCTTGATATCCATGGGAATCTGACTTCTCTCTAAAAAGAGATGGCCTGGGAAGCCAAGTTTTCGGCTAATGAGTAAGTTTCTCCCAGCTTGCCTGTCTGCGGGCTTAGAAATCTTTAAGGGCTACCTATTAGAAATCGTTAGTATACAGATACAAAATCCCTAGTTGCCGAGGAATTTCGTCAGCGAGCCCTACAGACCTTCAATGAACCACAAGTCCTCAACCTTAGAGCCTCAATCAGCAGAGGACTCTTCCTCCTGCCCCTGTGGGTGCTAACCCCTGTGACTTCTGCCACTCAGGGCCTCTCCTTTTTTGTGTCTTGGAACCACATTCCTGCATTTTCATTTTCTGTCTCTGAGCTCCTCTCCTCTTTCTTCCCTCCTACCACAGTCTGAGTATACAACAGACTAAGCTACTTCCCCAGAACACCCCTTCCCGGGACCTACTCATCAAACCAGGATGACCTTGTCCTAGCTCCTCAGTGTCACCTCCGAGCCGTTAACTCTTAGGATGCAGAACTGTCTTCTCCGCCCCAGGTCTTTCCTTGTGTTTCTGGCTTAGTGCTTCCCAAACCTGGTGGCCCATCTGAAGTGCCAGGCATGTTTTTAAAAAGACAGGCTCATTTAGATTCTCTCAAATATCAAAATGGAATCATTAGGACCATAAAACCCCCAAACCAACCAACCAACCAAAACGAAACCCTTTCTGTAAAAAAGCAAGACTTAGGTCAGCAAGATGGGCCAGCAGGTAAAGATGCCTGCCACCAGGCCTGACAACCTGAGCTTGAGCCTCAGAGTCCACCTGGTACAAGGAAAGACGCACACTTCTAAGTTGTCTTCTGGCTTACACATGTGTGCTAAGACACACACACAGTTTGTTTGTTTGCTTTGCCTTAAAAGAAGGAAAAAAGGAAACAGGAGGGGAGAGGGCGAACACAGCTCATTTGGTGCTGGCTCGGGCAGGGAAACCGCTTCTCTGGAGTCTGGGAAGACCACGAGCCCCTAGCTTTGTCTCTCTTCTGCTGGCCTTGCTGGTGACTTTGGGTTTACATTGAGACCTGCCCCCCTCAATGGCCTTCTAGTGCCTCAACCTTGATCCTGTGGTTCAACCTTGACCCCTGTGACTCAGCCTTGACCTCCACGGCTCCTCCTTGACTCCCATGGTTCTGCCTGTATTTTCCTTCCACCACCGATATCGGAGATGCGCTGAGGCTGGGCAGTTTTCCACTTTCAGGAGCTGGCTTGGACTTCTTCCTACTGACTGACTCTGTCCACACACTGTGCCTGTCTCTAATCATCGCTGAGAACTCCAGCCCCTTCGTCCTTGTCAGCCCATCTTCAGGGCGCCACATCTTTGGTCTTGACATGTTGACTTTTACTTTTTTTGAGTCAGGGTCTCACCATGTAGTGTGGCTAGCCTGGAACTCACTAAGTAGACCTGACTACCTTCAAATTCAGAGGTCTGTCTGCCTCTGTCTCCAGAGTGCTGGGATTAAAGGTGTGCGCCATGCTGTCAGCCTTGGACTCCTTGTATTCCTGTCTCCAATCCAAAAGTCATAAGGACCTAGGCTGGTTCCACTTTAAACTGATGCTGGTTCTAATTTCGTGAAGGCTTGCTTTTCTGTGAGACACGAGACTTCTATCCTTCATGAACTCAGACTGCCTCCACTTTGCTCTGTGCCGAGGCTCTCTATCCCTTAAAAGCCAGGTTCCCTTCCAGAAAGTGGCCTTTGACAGATAAGATGGAGAGCGTCCACATTCTCCATTACTGCCCTCCACCTCAATGTAAACCCAGCTGAACCCTCCTTTGCATCTCCAAGTATGTCCTTCTCCATCCCTCCATGTCCTTATGTTTTTGTTCTGAAATTCAGGACCATTCCTGTGTCTGACCTGGGGCGAGCCTGAACCCATCCCACACTCCGCTTCCCTCCCTCTGCCCCTGCCTGCCCCAGCCGGGATCTCCTTCCATGTGTCAATTTATCATTCTCCCTCTGCCTTTCTTTGCTCCTCCTTCCTCCACCCCGACCTCATTCCATCATATAGCCAAGTCATCCTTCCTTTAAGAAACCGTACTGGAGTCTCCATTCTGTCCACTAGAACCTTCTCTAGTGACGGAAGTGATGGCGTTTACTAGCCGTTTGTGGCTATGGAGCGCACAGGATGTGACTACTATGACCAAGGACCTGAATTTTTATTCTTTTGTCTACTTATTTTTGAGACAGGGTCTTGCTGGTCAGCCTGGGCTGAGTTTGAACTCACAACCCTCCTGCCTCAGCCTCCTAAGGGCTGAGATTATAGGCATGTTCTACCACTCCTGGCCTAAACTGAGTTTTCAGTTTATGTGGATCTTAAAGGAATTCAAACTCAGTTGAACCAGCCACAGGGAGCTATCGGCTATTGTGTGGGGAGGGCAGAGCCTGGGCTAAAGCAGGAGCAGCTGCTCTGTTGATCTCAGTGAGTTCCTCTCCTTTGATCAAGCACTTCCTTTATCTTTCTGTGCAAACTGCCCCCTCACGGCCCCCTCAGGAGTCTTGGCTGCAGAACTGAGCCTTCCCGTGCCCTTCTCCTTGGTTGGTGCCCTGCTGCTCTCCTCCCGTACCTCTCTCTTTCTGTCTTCCTGCCCTGTCTCTGCAGGTTCCACTCACCCCTCATTTGATGACTGTCTTGCTGGCCCCTAGCTGTGGGGGCTCTGAACTTGGGTTGTTCTCTCTGCTTCCCTTCCTGGTCTTCTCTTTTCTCCTTCCCAGCGTCAGTGTCGACTCAGAG